TAGAAACTTTCCCCAAAGTTTCATTATTTTTGAACTTGATTTGACATTTTTTCTGGATTTTCAAACTTGTCCCAAAACCTGTATATTTACATATATCAGAATTCGGTCGACCGGTACGGTCGACCGACTGTTGTTCCGTTTCTGAGTAAACTTCCAGAGAGCCCTCCGGTCGACCGGAATTTATATCGGACGACCGAAATTTCCAATTCGGTCGACCGCTTTTTCCGTCGGTCGACCGACAGCTTTAATTCTTCGTTTCTCTGGGTTTTTGAACTAATCGGTCGACCGTACCGGTCGACCGACGAGTTGTCAGAATGAGCCTAACGGCTAGTTTTTCAAATGGACTTTTTGGTCTTTTACTTATTTCTAGCTGTTGTATTGGGGTGCTATATATACTTCATTGCTGCTCTTCTTCTCTAACATCCAAGAAATCCAAGTTTGTTGTTTAACAAAATATTAATCGCATTTAAGAGCTGTTTAAGAGTTGGTTTCGCTAATTAGTTTTTCAAGAGAAGTTTTCTACAACAAGAAGAGGCCTTCAAATCTTATTGAGATCACCATTTCCTCAACTCTTCTTGTTTATTGAGAAGTCTTCTAAACTCTTTCCTATATAGCTTATTATTTCACTTTCATTTAATTAAGCTATATTCATTGAGTTATATTTATTTTCATTCACTATTATCACACACACTTATTGAGCTTGATATTCTCATATTATATATTGTGGGTTGTAGTGTGGGATTTAGTGAGTGTGAGCTTCACTGAGTTCTCATTTGTTGTTTGAGAACAAACTCATGTATTGAACCTTTATTTGTGAGATTCACTTGTAACACACTTGTACACCGAGAGAAGTGTGAGGAGAGAGAGACGGGGTCAAATCCAATAGGAGTGGCGTCGATTGACGAACCTAGGGAGAGGTTGTAATCGAGCACTTGAGGAGGAGGACATGGGCTAGGTTCCTACACTTAGTGTGTAAAGTGTGTTTGTTGAGTGATTGTGTAGTGTGAGAGTTTTCGGTGAACTTGTAAACCGAATGTGTAGAAGTTCCGGCTTCTAAACCGGATTGTGATAGTGGATATCTCCTCGAGATGAGGAGCGAGGACGTAGGTCGTGGGGACCGAACCTCGTGAACATATCGTGTGTTTGTGTTTTGTTTGGCGTACATATTATTCATCTTTATTGCTCATATTCCTATCATATTTATTCTTGCTAGATCAAATTGATCAATATAATTTTAATTGGTATTAATTGAGATTAGATTAGCATAAGACCCTAATCACCCCCCTGTAGGGTCTAACAATAGTCAAGATGAAGACCTTCTATATTAATATTAAACTGTTGAGGTGATTAATATGTGAGTATAGTCTCATATCGGATAAGATAAGAAAGAGCGATGAGTTTAAATAGGAGTTTGGGTCATACCTGACAGCTATAGCTTTTTGGTTAAAATTGATTCCGAACTTCTGTTTAAGGCCCATCAACTCTAGATTGAGCCCGATTTCTCCTCCAACATAAACTACTCATGCGTAAAATCCTAAACAATAGAAACATTACTGATCATTTTCATAGAATGTGATATTCTGGATACTTGTTCTTGAATATAGATAATTTAAGGAACGGAAAACTTTCCCTTATCAAACAATTGCAAAGAAAATTTCTTTGGACTTCCCATTTCTATATATATTTGCTCCAGGTTTCAGAAGGAAAAATTTATGGTGCAAGGGCACAAATTTTTGTTTTGCGGAGATGTGTTATGATTTATGCTATGTTTGTTTGAAAATCTTCATAGTAATGAATCCTTATGTCCTATTTCATTAGGAGCTTCATTATTTGTTTAAAACTTTAAATTTTATATTGTTTTACTATTATAAGGCTCGAGCGTGTGGCAAAAAAAAAGGGTAAAAGAAGTTTTATAGCGTACCAATCAAATCTTCAGTTTTATAGCGTACCAATCAAATCTTCAGTTTTATCTAAGATATAGTATTGGACCATTTAACTATTTATAGGCTTTATCTACAATCAAGACGGTGGAGAATCCGGACTCAGAAATAAACAAAAACGTTATGTGATTTTGTCTATTAATACCAAACAGTACAAAACTTATGGCATAAAAGTTCTTTATCTGTTAATTTTCTTTCACTACTCAACAACCGAGTGGTCTATATTTAGACTATTGGTTGGACTAACATCATTCTTCGACATGATACTTTCTGTGCCTCTTTGATGCAGGCTGGTAAGCGTGATGTAAGAAGAAAGAAGTCCAATAAACCAAAATGAGTAAAAGTGGATTGAATTTAAAACATCTCATCAAATTTATGAGTAATACGTTAATTATTTCTTATCAAACGACTTACATAGCGATAGGTTTGTTTCCATGTAAGTACTTTCACTACGAGTGAAAATAGCTCGGATATAATATACTTACCATATTTATTTACTAATCACAAATACAAATACCAACATAGACAACATGATTGATTAAGGAAATTCGAAATCCGTATCCATGGAAATGAAATATAGATAAAGATCAAATGAGAGGATACATATACACACACACACACAAAATGAATATGATAAAATTAAAACAACAAATAGATCTTTTAAAAACATGAAAATTACAAACAATCCCCTAAGAAAATCTAAAATTGTAAAAAGATATCTGAAAATCTAAAAATTGTAAGAAAACCCTAAAAAATCAAAAAACACAAAGTACCACTCGAAAATTTTGAATATTATAATTATAATAGGTCCTTGTAAAATAAAAAAATACAAACGACCCCTTCTAAAATCCCCTTTTAAAATCCGAAAATTAGAAACAACCTGTTGAAAAATATGAAAATTATACATAACCCTGAAAATAATTACATCGAACCTTTAAAATAATAATCAGTCATTATTAGGGGTTTTCTACCAATAAGTGACAAAACTAAAAACTTATTTGTTGTTTTCTCCCAATATCTATTGTGGATATTTTGGTCATTTGATCACACATTAACTAACAATGTTAATTTGTGAGCTTTCTGCCAAATGTTTTTGAGGGTTTAGTGAGAGTCTCAAAGGTGTCGTGTTTTGTGTCAAACACCCCAAGTTATTGGGGGTTTAGTGAAATTTATTCTTACTTTAATTTCTAAAGAGATGATAGCTATTAATGTTTACACGTGACCTTATATCTAGAAGAGTAGGTTCATGGTTATTATTTTTACAATATACATTGGTTGTCAAATTAAGATGAGACTAAAACCTTAAATGGATAGGAGAATCAAGTAAAAAACATCATAAAACAAAGAAAATCTAGATCTGTTATTCTATAGACAGAAGAATAAATTAAACTTCATATAAGGGTAGAGATGGAAAAGGAAATATTGTTAATCCCTACTTTATATATATAAAAAGAAAATTTTGATTTACTACTAGCTTTACATCTCGGGAAAAAAAAGTCATGTGTCCCTCCCTAATTTAAATTTAAAAACTTAATATAAAAACTATCCATGCACTTATTAAGTGAGGTTGTGTTTTCATTTTTTAATTTTAAGATATTATAAAAACGAGGGATATTATAAAGGGAGTATTGGTGGTTAAGCCATCTAATTTCAATTTTAAATTTTGATACAATTTTATCCATGTCCTTATTTTGTATTTCCTTGATAAGGAAAACAAAGCTCCAAGTCAAGTTATCTACTTTTAAAAAAGTAACATACAACAACAACAAATTCAGATATACAAATTAAAGAAACCAAATCAATTGGTGCAAGCATGGGACATAATGCTTGCATGTATAGATACAAAGTGAATACAATAAAAGCATGGGAAATTCTAAATATATATAATGATGCTGTTTCAAATTGAATATCCAAACAATTGACTATGTCCGATACACATGAACTCTCTATGTATGCTATGTAGTACGTGGATTCGGATTCTTTCTATTTAAGTGGTAAATAGAGAGGGCACGATTACCACCATCACAAAAGTGATCTTCAGAATAGCTGATTCTCTCTATTTAAGTGGTATATAGAGAGGGTATACGATTACCATCATCACAAAAGTGATCTTCAGAACAGCTGATTCTCTCTATTTAAGTGGTATATAGATAGGGTATACGATTACCACCATCACAAAAGTGATCTTCAGAACAGCGGTTTTCAATACAATAGAGGTTTTAAAAATAATAGTGGTACTTCTATATGACATCATCTTATCATTGAAATTTTCAATAAACATTTAGAATTAGGATAAATGGACATTCTTCAATTACTATCTAGTTATAGAGTATCCGGTTCATGTTTAAATAAAACAGTGCTTATCATATCAGAGACACAATTTATCAATAATTTTTGACTTTTTAAAATTTAATATTAGATATCTGGATTATCAAAATTTATCCATTAATCTAAGTCAAAATTATTCCAATGGTTTGACTGACAATATATTGATATTCATATGAGTATAGAATTTTAGCTAAATTGCACTTAAATGTATCACGGTTTCCCCAACTTTGCATTTTAATACCCCTTATTTGAAAATCTTGCACTTAAATGCCCTAAAGTATTAATTATTACAGATAAACACTTCAAAGTTAAAAAAAAATCTCACAGTGTTAATTTTTCTACAAATATCCAAGAATATCACATAATAGAGGGTATTAATGTGCAATTTTTGAAATCTCTAAGCTATTTAAGTGAGGTCATTTACAAACCTGAGGGTATTTCTATGCAGCATTGGGTAAAAATGAGCGCATCAACATACAATATCGGTTAAACAAGAAAGCACCAACGTGCAATATCCTCAAAAGTTGAGACATTTATCTGTAATATTGATATACTTTGGGATATTTAAGTGTGTAGTCGTAAAACTATGGGGATTAAAATGCAAGGTAGGCGGTAAAAATATGGGTATCTTGTATCCATACCGTACAAAATAGCTAATATACCATAGTATTGATGGCCGTATATTCTTGTATAGTGTTTCTGTTGACCAAATTTTACCGGATTCCCACTTTCAACCAAATCTACGAAAGTTCGATCCGAAGACCTAAAATCAAACAGAGAAAACGAAAAAGGAAAAAAAAAAATCAAACAGAGGCGAGGAAAAGAGAAAACGATGGCGACTCATCGCCATCTCAAGCTCTTTGCTCCATTATTGCTGTTCTCGTTCTTCGCTAGGGTTTACTCGAACCAATTCTCAGTGGACGGAACGGTGTTGGAGCTCGACGACAAGAACTTCGATTCGGCGATCTCGTCCTTCGACTTCATCCTCGTTGATTTCTACGCTCCTTGGTGCGGTCACTGCAAGAAGCTATCCCCCGAGGTCAGTGATTTTTTTTTTTTAGCAAAAACTTTAAAAAGAAAAAATTGCTCTTGTTGATGCTCACCTTGCTTTAGTATAAATTTAGGGCTCACCAGGAAATTTTGAAAATGATTATAAACTTTTTGGACCCCAGAATCTTCGTACTCGTAAATTACACTCCTAAAATCTTCGTATTTTTTTTTTCGAAATGAGGATGTTACTTGAAACAACTTAATGGATTTGGGACGTAATTACAATTTACAAGAGCCTTTGTAGACATTACTGTGAGGGCCTTCAAGATCTATAAGTGATGGGATGAAAAGGGAACATGTAGAATGCTAGTTTAGCAATTTATGAGAAAACAATGAGCTTATTAGTTTGGGTTTCATGGTGAAGAAATACTTAGGAATGGCCACTTTTCCACTCAAGATAAATTGTTTATCATAATGGTGACTGGCGAGATCAAGGCATATGTGCTTACAATATCACTTAATCTATCAAAATTTTATGTATCATATGTTCGTAGAACTATGTAGTTTAAGGAATTTTTCTATAAAATGTTTATAGTGTGAAAGGTGTTTATGGTCAAACATGTATTAGAATGTTGCACAAAAACATGGATAAGGGATAACACACTAAAGCGTGAGTAAGAAATGAGGGCTTCCTTAATATTTATCGAGAGGGATAAGGGACTGAGGTAGGGAGGGAAATTCCATAGAGAGTTAAAATGAGGGAGAAGTGATCAATGGAGATCAAAGTGCTGCAGTTATGGTATGCTTAAACAAACATTAAGTATTTAAAAATAATGTGTAGGTCTATCAATTTAAGAGTATATAAACCTTAGCAGAGCATATAATAGGAAAAAAAAGGACTCTTGTAGGAATCCCAATGTAGGACTTATTGTTGTCACTGGGTGATGTAGCTTGAGTTCACTGGGCGATGTTAGTTTGAGTACGTTGATGTGCTTTACTCAATCTCTAGATATTTCACAATATTCAAAGTTGGGAAAACATGGATAACTTCTACACACACACATAGCTCCCAGCATTCACACGTGTGGCAGAGCCCATTAGTTTTACTAGTATTAGCATATAGTTAAATAGTTATCGGCAATGATTTCTTCTTTTGGCGCGATGAGATGTTAAGGCAAGCACATGACTTTTTAAGATGCAAATTATGGCGTAATATGTTATTTAGGCCAATAGGGTTAGATGGTCTTGTTACTTCCCTTACATGAGCCCTGGATGTGTCAACTTCAAGAACAGTGGGGTTTACAGAATTTTTTCATACTGAGGTTATGTGAGAACGCCTCAAATTATTGGGGGTTTGTCAATATACCCTTGGGATATCTATTCAAGGAACTCATTCTGCACAAAGTTTCAATGAGGTTTAGATTCGTCAATTTAAGAAACATTGTGGGGTTGCCAATGAGTTTTGACATAGGAGGTATGTGAAAATGGCTGAAAAACTGAAAAGTAGTGGGTGGTGTGCAGGTCCCAAAGGTGTGGGTTGCTGTGGGTTTTGTTTTGTTTTGTTTTTGTTCCTTTTTTTGTGGGAGGGGATGTGCTTATTGAATGTATACCCTTCACATATTGATCCTGCTTTGATCCTTGAGTAGTTAATTCATAGGAAAAATTGTTCTTTACTCTCTAATGGGTGCCGGCAGCAAAAATAGTGATGCACATTGGAACAGGAATGACTTCAGTGCTCCCTCACTTAGCGAGAGAATGAAACTCAGTGAAATCGACAATATACATTGGTGAGACAAGGTAATAATATCTTGATATCCCTCCATGGAATACATTTGTCTAGCAATGCACGCATCTCCATTTCTGATTCACTATGACTTTTAGTGAGTTCATTCCTTTTTAGTTTACTAAAATTCCATTGACATACACAAGAAAATGATGTATGTTTAATTATCATTCAAATATTGATTTCTTGCTTCATTAATGGTTATATAGTTCTTCTAGTTTCCATGCATCCTAAATACTAAATATTACTGCTGCTATAAATCTTCTCTGGGATCTTATTCTGCTCCTGATTTCTGGTTAGTTTCTAGTCATTATCTTTTGGATTGTAATTAGAATTTTTAATGATTCTATAACTGTGAACAACCTGGCTACCTAGTTTCTATTTTAATTGATTAACACTCTTGATTTATGCTTTTACTGAAAAATCGCAGTTAGATGTGGCTGCCCCAACTCTAGCTGGGTTGAAAGAACCCATTGTGATCGCTAAAGTTAATGCTGACAAGTATTCAAAACTTGGTGCCAAATATGAAATCGAGTATGTTTCTGCCCGTTCTTTATTTTGATTAATGAACATTTTTTCAAAGATATAACTAATTGCAGCGTCAGATATGTAAAGTCGGAATCTTGTTCTAACGTCTATTTATCAGAGTGTTAAGTTTTGGTACTGAGCTGTTGTTTGATCTCGGATGCGTTAAGTTTTCATTAATATGTGATTCATTGCTGAACCATTGTAATGGACAGTTTTCTTCTTTTATTCTATATCATATCGGCCATTACTATAATCTAACTTGAAGGTTGTTGTTTTCTTTCTAATACAGTGGGTATCCTACGCTGAAGCTCTTTATGCATGGTGTCCCTGTTGACTATTATGGTCCAAGGAAAGCCGATTTACTTGTTCGATACTTAAAGAAGTTTGTCGCACCTGACGTTTCTGTTCTTGAGTCAGATTCTGCTGTTGATGGTTTTGTCGAAGCAGCTGGCAAACAATTTCCCATATTCATTGGTTTTGGCCTGGACGAATCACTTGTTGTTGAATTTGCCAGAAAATACAAGAAAAGGGCATGGTTTTCTATAGCTAAAGGTTTCTCAGAGGAAGCCATGGTAACTTATGATTTTGACAAGGTTCCTGCATTGGTATCTCTCCATCCCAAATATAATGAACAAAGCGTGTTCTATGGCCCTTTTGAAGGTGAGTACTTAAAATTTCACTATGTTGACGTTTGAAATCATTGTAAAGACATGGAGAATGAGACTTTGCATTTTTTTATACACGTGCACACACACAACAGAAACATACCCCACTGGAGGAGGGTAAAAGAAGTACTATATTAGAAATAATATTTCAAGGAAATAAATCTAGAAAAATGGAAATTTCAATTTTCAGGTTCACTTCAACCTGAATGCTAAACATAAAATCAGTCACCCAACTTAACTGTTAGGAGTTTATTTTGTCTTGATTTTGTAAGCGGAAAATAAGCAAAATTGACCCGCGCATTGACGCGGCATCTGCGTGAAAACAATCAAAAATATATTTTAAGTATTTGGCCTAAAAATACATTGTACACCTAATACTTTGAATAAAATAGCAAGTTAAAGCAAAATATATCACCTTACAATGATACAAAACTAAACAAACAATAGTTAAAAATTAAATCTTTCAAGTATGTTAGATCCAAGGTGATCTAGTGAAGTGTGTGGGTCTAAAAGTAAATAAAGGTAAAACTTTCGGTTTAGACATAAAAATTTTTAAAAAAAAGTGAGTGAGTTTTAAAATAAATGAGGCAAAAAAAAAGCACATCTGCAGTTCACTATTGACGTGCAAGTTATACGTATATTCATACCTCAAATGGAGTAATCTGAGATGATTTTGGTTGAACTTGCAGGAGAATTCTTAGAGGATTTTATGAAACAAAATCAGCTGCCACTAATTGTACCTATAAACTTTGAAACCCTCAAGCTATTGAATGATGACAAGAGGAAAATTGTCGTAACAATTGTGAATGACGATGTTGATGAGAAGTCATTGAAACTGATTAAGACTTTAAGGGCTGCTGCAAACGCCAACCGTGACTTGGTATTTGGATATGTTGGAATCAAACAGTGGGAAGAATTTGTCGATACATTTGATGTCAGAAAAGGGTCCCAACTCCCAAAGTTGCTGATCTGGGATGGAACTGAAGAATATCATATTGTAAGTCCCACTATCTTCATTTAGTTTTTCTACTGCCTATGCTCGTTACTGTATACAAAATAGTCTTGTGTGCACAGATAGATGTAAATAACAGTACTACCTCACATAAACCTGATTACTGCATCTTGGAGTCTTAAGAAATTGTAATGCAACACTTACCAAATTACTTTTTTTCTCAATGAGATAAAAAATTGACCTGTAAATGTAATCAAATTTGAACACATCACATTTTATAGTGTATTAGATTGCTCGAATGTATGTTAAATAGGAGCATGAGGTTCTCAGGCCATCTAAAAACCTAAATTCATATCCATCTAGTTTACATGTTAGGTCTTTGAAAGCCTATGAAACTTGAACCTTGTTGGGCTTTCGTTCAAGTATGCAGCTAAGCTTTTTTTTTTTCTGAGCGAAATCTTCATCTATACTTTAGGATGTAAATCCTTTATCTTAAGAGGGGATGTAGCATACTGTTAATCATACAAGCAAATAAAGTATTTACGAGTATTATTCTTACCAGCAAGATTTTCGTTAGGAATACTGTAAGCATATGCTGATCTGTTTTAGGTAATAAATCCTTTATACTTCAGCCTAAGCATAAGAACTATGATAAAGCTGCATGCTTACAGAGGCTTGTAATGGAGGAGAGGAAGTTATATACAAATCAACACTAAAATACCAGAATGGAAGTCGTCATATTGTAGGATACTGCATCATAGTAACTATTATATCATTAAAAGCAGAATTGCATCGACCTCAAATAAATTACAAATATACAAAATCAACCTTTGCTTCACCTCTGCTTCACTGATCTAGTGTTTGCCTAACGTTGCATATAAACACAAATATTGGTGCCAGATAATAAAAACATCGGCCCATTGTTTGGTGGAGCTTTGTTGACTTTGAGATATGCACTGTAATCATTCCATCTTAGCAAAAACCCTTAGATGATTGAAAACATATATTAATGTATTGGCCCCTTCATGGTGTTTCTTATTAAGCTTTCTAAATATAGTTTGAAAGTGAGGGGACGGAGCCAAAACCATCTCACGTTTTGCAAGTGCCCAACCTGAGATTTTGAAAGCCATTGGTGCTTTCGTGGCTCCTAGACCATAACCCCAGTTAGACTCTACAAAAAATTTGATAACCCTTTTTTGATTTAATAAAAATTTCCCAAGCCGAGATTTTGAAAGCCAATTGGTGTTTTGGTGGCTCCTTGACCATAACCCCATTATGCTATACTCTATAAAAAATTTGGATAATCCTTTTTGATTTAATAAAAATAATACATTTTTAATATAAAGTGTAACGTTACAAATAAATTCATTATTGAAATACGAATGACTTTGACAGTATCACTTGACCAACTGAAACATAAAAAAACTATCTTTTGCATAAGAAAATTAAGGTTGAAAATTAATAATTATTTGTATAAATAGTTAAAAGGATTTTAAAATAAATCTATCTTCCTCTAGAATAACATTTTTGCTCTTGCTTCTTAGTGCCCTACCAGTCTAGAATTTCTGGTTTCGGCCCTAGTTGAAGCTGTTGTTCATTTTTGTAAAAATAAAATCCATAATAAATGAAACTATAGTTTTGTATGTCTTTGATATAGGTGTCAAACTTGTCATGTTCGAGCTTTGTAATATTATTAATATATTATTACCATCGGATGGTTGAATTCATTGTATAGTTTGGTATTCAGCCTTTTACAATCAGTTTTAATCTACACCTCATTGCATACTTTCGGTCTAATACACTCCAATTTTATTGGTTTTAATCTTGTCTTATTTTCTATTTTTAATATTTCAGGTTGAAGGTTCAGAGAGCCTCGATGACGATGATGATGAAGCATCACAAATAAGCCGGTTTCTTGAGGGATACAGAGAAGGGAGAACAATAAAGAAGAAAGTCGCCGGCCCTTCAGTAATGGGCTTCATTAATTCACTAATCACCATCAAAACAGTGTACCTAATAGTCTTTTTAGTTGCTATTTTCATGCTTATCCAGAATTTTGCCAATCGAATTGATGACGGCCCTCAACCAAGGGAACGTGAAGCTGAAGTTGAAGATACAAGTAGAACAACGGCCTCTGAAAGTGAAAGCAGAAACGAATACAAGCCTGGAGATAAAGATGACTGAGTTTTAGTGTTACAACTTGTTTAAAAGCATTGCACGTTTTGTAATGATCTGTTTGTGCGCAGAAATTTAGGTCTAGCTGGTATTATGGGTTGAATTCAGGATTATCTTTTATATGTTGTAGATTAAATTTTGTATTTGAGTTCGCTATCGAAACGTGTGATGTTGATATGTCTGATATTTTCTTATATTTCAGTGTTTTGCGCAGAGTCCCTACTCTATTATTGGTGTTATATGTACAATTCATCTATACAAATACATATAATAAAGCAATTTGTTTGGACATAAGGGGATCTAACTGCTGATAAAAATTTAGAGATGATAAGCGTTTAAGCCTCTATGGCATCTATGATGGAACTATGTTACATCTATGATTTTGCTAGTGGAAAGGTAATGATCATTTTGCTTCTCTCAGCTATTGATCTGTCGTTATTTCTCTGGATTGTGCTGAAAGCTGATACTAGAAATTTCCAAGATCTTATTATATATTTACAACTACTGCATTGTTGGCATTATTTGCAACAAAAAACACTACTAGAATTGTATGACCTAGAGACAAAGTTCCAATAGTTTACATTCTATAATTCACATTTTAAGTAATAGAGAACTTCAACAATAACAGGTACAGAATATCTAAGTTATGTGCACATTCTGGTCAAAAAGAAGAATCAGACTATATTAAACCAAGAGATATTCATTATTGACACAAAGTAGTTTCCAGTTACACAGTTGCATTTACCTCTATGAAATAAGGGCCAAATATTGCAGATAAAAAGGAGCCTTCACTGGATCTGCTACAGTTCTTACCAAGCAAAAATGAAATACTTCAAACTGTTGAAATTCAAAAAAGAATACAGTACTCACATAAGCAAACATAGAATAAATACTCACATAAGCAAACAACACAGGTCTGAAGAGGCAAAAGTATCCGTATCCAACATAGCAAAGAAGTACTAGACATCTGAAACAAATCGCAGCATCTTGAAATGTAAATCGTGCAAGTTTTATTTCCTATAGTTCCATTATACTGGATTACATCGTGGGAGATAAACCAGAAAGAAAGGCGCTAAGTTCGAACTGTAACAAGAGACACCGAGGAACCTTTCTTCTTATAAATATTGTGTAAAAGTTACATGAGTGCAAGTAAGTAAAACCTTGCATTATAGGCATTTTTCTTCCATATGGATTATACATCAAAAAATGCATGGACTAAAGAATTGGAGCTTAACTCTGCTATTGTCCATCTGTATTTGACCATTGGGTGGCTGGGGAGACAGAACCAGTATACAACTACAAATTCTGTTTCATTAGCATCTGTTGGAGCTGAAGCACTTGCTGCTGCTGCTCCAGAGGTAATGAACTTAATTGCTCAGGTGTTAAATTCATCACCTGCTGAAGAAGGGCAGATTCCGCTTCTGGTGGAAGCTGCACAAGGTAGAGAAAATAAAGTAAATAGCATCATAAAATACTTGAGCATATAGATTATGTTATGAACATAGAAATCCTAATTTCCCTCCATTTATCATATTCCTTGCTTGCTATGTTGAAATATTACTATGTGCCACAGCACCACAGAAGCTTCCTCATACTTACACTAGTCTAAGAAAAGCCGATGTATGTGCTCAAATAAAGATTATTCCCATCAAATTTGACCACATTGTAAGGACGTTATTAGAAGCCTACTTAAAATTAATTTCTATTCTATTTCCTTGCATCAGTATCTTCTTGCTTGCACCCATAGCATGTAGATATGATAACAAGATAAAAAGCCCCCTCCCCAAACATAAAAAAGAACACCTTGCAGAAAAGAGAAAAGAAAGGAAAAAAACAATAATAACATAATGTAGGAATCCTCAAATGACAAAGTAAATATTTGATAAGATCTAAAAGTGAACTGAGAAGTTCAATACAAATCACCCTAAACTACCACTATAACAGAAATCCCTACAACTATTATTCCATCTATATTAAGAAGAAATCAGAGTAACCTATCTAATATCCATACCTCTATAACAGAATAACATAAATTTTATTTAGTGTAAACTACTAACTAGTGGTGTAGTATATGGTTTCTCTTAACATGATATTGCATAAGAATGATATACTAATATTTAGGAAATAACCAGATTCTGATAGAATTACTTCAAAATCATTCACCTATCCTGTAACTACATCTTTGAATGTTACGTTTTATGTAAACAACACAAGTTGTAACTCTCCCAGCCCTCTCTTCCTCTTCCCCACAACCATCACCCACATCCTGAAAGGAGCCTTCTTGACCTGATAGGCTCATATAAATTTTTGATACAAAAATAAGTACTTTTATTTTTGGAAGCTGTACAGTTGAAGTAATGATTGAAGGGCAGTTTTATTCCCTTGCCCAATAGGTTCACGGATGACTTATGTATGTCAGTTCTTTTTGGTTGTGTTCCTATTCAATCAACTAAAAGTCTAAATGTTGAAATTCTTGAAGCAAGATATACCAATGAACATCAAAACAAGCTGAATTATATTGGTGGAAGACCTGAAGTCTTTGATGCATTAAATTTAATACCTGAGGAGCATCAGCCATTGGTTTCCAGGTGCTAAAGTTATGGCAATTGGTTAAGAAGCAGAGCTAACAATAGGAAAGGTATCAATCACCTGATGAGAGCCACCTCTATTTTCCAATTTTGGTCTCTTTAATCCATGGTTCATCACTTCTGATGGTTCACCTGTTGTTCCTGTCTGCGTCACTGATTCGACGCCTGAATTTAAATCATAACTTGCAGCAGCATGTGTTCCAGCTCGCTTAGAAAGTGAATTTATTCCATTTGACAATGCTTGGTAATTTGACGAGACACCCTGATACATAACGTCATTTGACCGAAAATGAGATGATGTCACTGATACAAGCATATAAATAACACTGCGCTTCATTATTCAATTCTATATCCACACACATGCTCGGGCACACAGACACAAAGAGAGAGATTTCAAAAGTAAAAACAGATAGTCATAGTGAATATTGTGCATTCATTGGTAGGACAAACTTCATACTGTTAAAGCTCATATAAAAATGGCCACATTCACATGAATTCCAAGTAATGCTATAGATTAACAGCCATATATACAGAAACCAAAATAAACTCTTCTCCAGTTGCATAACCGCCACAAGTGTCTGGGAGGTTATGATACTAGAAAACAGAAGTTCTGATGCTAAAACCTCAAATTGAGACATAGTTTTTAGTATCTACACAAGGAAATCATAAGTTACAGCGAAGTAGTACACTGGAATTTCCAATTTATGTTATAAAGGTCCAACAAAGTTAGAACCACATAGAGTTGTCTCATAATGTTCATATCTTTGAAATCAGTTTCCCCTACTTAAAGTCCTGTGCCACTACACCAAAACTCCAAAGTTATGATGAGGGTTGAGGGTTATAGTTCTATATTCTAACACTGCTATTACTCTATAGACTAGCAGGAGTATGCCGCCAAGATTTAATTTATGTTTGTTTTACGATATGAATCAAGTTCCAACATATAACCTCACAGAATTGTCTGATTATAGATTACCCAATGTATGAGAGCACAATAGTACATAACACCCAATACTAGTACATGTTAAATTATCAGTAAAACAGTGACCTGAGAAGTCAGAGAGGGTGGCAAATGTGGCTGCTGAAGACTATCCGCAAGATGCGGTTGAGGATGCTGACCAACATTTGTAGCTCCAGGGATTCCAGAATGTGGAGGAGCAGGAGGCTGCACTTGTGACATCAAACTCATGGATGTCGATAAAGGTGGAATCTGTGGCTTATTTGAAAGGCAACCAAAAGTTTGTGGTTGCGGTGGCAGAGAGTGCTGAAATGGAGGTTGAACAGGAAATTGTTGAAGTGGACGTGTCTGGCCAAGATTGGAAGAAACTAAAGGATTTTGATTAGATATACTGTTTGGAAATGCAGGCTGTGGGACTGGAGTAGAAGCCTGCTTAATATTTGCCATCTGCATTGGTACAGTTGAGTTATAAAAAAAGTTACGTATTGCTAATAGCAAAGCTTTACTAGACGACTCCCGATATAAAGTAAATGATGCATACCATCTGTGGCGTCACCATACCAAGCATTATTTGCACCTGCAGCACAAAAAGAAAATCAAGGTCAAGATAAGAAACAAGCCAAACAAAAACACGTCCAAAGAAAAGATTGTTGATATTGCATCTATGTTTAACATGATGTCCATGGCTAATCTGAAATTCCATATGTATTAGGGGAACTCGTATATTGACAATTGAGGCAACTATGAGATTTTATTAACAACCCAATTTCTCCACAAAGAAACAAAGTTCATACATGGGGAAATATCTGCAAATTGTAAGAGCTTAGAGAACTTCATTGTAAAGGAAAGCTTGTGTAGCTGCAATGACTCTTGTATGGATGTAAAGATCCATCAGAGATCACATAAATGTACAAATTATAAAGGCTATCATGGAAACATAGTTTGGGATAGAATAAAGGAGAGAATATATGTGTTATAGTTGAATAACAACCTGAAAGAGAGCCTTTGGTAATTGTGCACATCCTTGTAGCAGCTGCTGAGCCAGCGGCTTATTTTGCTGAACCAAAGCCTGCCACAAGAAAAATCGATATGATATGAAGTTTTCTGAAGAAAAAATGATATATACAATATCTGAAAGCACAGAAAAGGGAAGATCTAACCTTCATCTCAGACAATATTCCATTCAGCTGCTGTCTGGACATTTTCGCCAGATACTGAGTCAAAGCATCATTGCCAAGACTAGAGAGAGTTTGTAAACCATTTTGCATTAACGGCAGTCTGCTTGTCTGAGTTCCACCCAATGCTCTAGACATGGTAGATGCAGCAGTAGCAGCTAATGGATGCCCTACTGGTTGATGGAGAGAGGAATCCACAGGAATAGGGGTTCCAGATGACAGTTTATTAGCTTCTGCAAATTTTCATTGGCGTTAGGAGACACCTACTAGAATGAAAACATTAGCGACTGGTAGATAAGAGAATGAAACACAAAAATATTGATTTAAGAAGAGAAAGACAACCATTAGTGGGTGTAAATCCTGGTCCGCCACGACCCTGAAGCAATGACAATGATTTTAGATTCAGAAAACAAATGAATCATTAATACAGGCCACTAAAATTCAATGAGCCAAGTACATTAGACACCTCCCTAGAGGAGAATGCCACAATTTAAAACTAAATTAACACTGGGAGGTGTTTGCGGTTGGGGTGTAGTTGCCATGAAAATGCAACAAAGATAGAAAATAGTTCAGATTCTAATTAGTGGAAACTAATGTAGCCACCTCTAGGCTCTAGCATATGTTTCACTGATCTTTTTTGTATGCTAAGGGTCTGAAATGACAACTACAATTAAATTGTTTTAACCTGTTCTCTGTTGCGATCAGCACCCTTATCATTTTCAGCAAAGTCAACTCTTAGCTGACGGCCATTTATCTCATAACCCTGGAGATTGCGACGAGCACTCAGAGCAGTTTCCTCATCCTTATACTCACAAAACCCATAACCTTTGGGCTTCCCAGTTTCTCTGTCAAGTACTAACCTGCATATTACAACTAAAAATCAGAGGATGGCCAGAAAATCATGATGAACCTATGCATCCGTGCATCAGGAGTAATGCAAAAAATAAAAATAAAAAGTAAAAGACCATAATAAAATGATGCTCTTGATTACTATACCAATTGTCAATGTCTGCTAAATGCTCGTGTCAAATAATAATCAGGTATATAGGACACTTCAAGAGGCAGATAAATGACTAAAACTGCAAAAATTCAAAGATTTTATAGATAAACATTACCATGTTAATATATTATACCATTTCTAAGATTTGACACACTATACAAATATACATTACACACGCATGTCAGGCACTGCAGCTTGGCTATTGTCTACACCAAATCATAGGTGAGGACTGGTATGAGTCGACATTGCACATTTATGATAAGTATCAGTAAGCGTGCAAGTGGAAGAAATTATAGGCTCTAAAATATGGCCTAAAAATAAATATCGCCATAGCCTTTATGCTCAAACATAGAGCTGAAGACTATAGCAATAGGCTACAATGTTCACTTAGGAAAACTTCAAGCCTTAGAAGATAATAGGATATCCAGCTGAAATGATTAAACAATATGCAGAAAACATAAGTAGACCGTTCTGCTATGAACAAGCTCATGTTTTCTGGTGACCTCCTACAGTTTGGTAAAGAGAAGAATAATAACAAAATTAAAAAAATCAAAAACAAGAATAATAAAATAGAAAGGTTCATCACTTCAGAATGTGAAACTCGGACAAAAAGAAGCTCACAAGATCGCAAATATCTAAGCCCCAGTGAAACAGGCTGAGGTATATTTTCATGGTCAAAGCTCAAAAGAGACATGTTAGCAAGACAATTAACTGTTCTATGTGTATTGATGGAACACCAATAAATCATTAACATTAGCCAAAAACCCATCAGTAATAGGCAAAGTAAGTACATCTAAAGTCTCATATTCTCCACTTATTTATTGATTCATTAACATGAAAATAAAACAAAAACTATAAATTTATTAATCACCAATTAGCTAAGTTGTATGTTCATCAATTCAGGATTACTAAGGTTTTAGCTGAACTCGACTACTTCTAATGCTCAAACAAAGCTACAGTAGCTTAAAGATTTATCACCAGAAGCAAAACCGCAAATTGACAAGAGAATCGCACGTTCTTTAATCCCACGATTCAAGTTACAAATTTGACGTACTCTTTGCTACTGAATCCAACCACTGACTATAGTTACAACAAAGCCAGGGTTTTTCATTAATTCCTCTCCCATCAAGGCTTGCCGACTAACTTATAACACCTAAAATTTAAAAAAAATTAACATGAGTAATTCAGCAATTCATTGAAACGAGCAAAACCAAAGAAATCCACAGCAATGAACACAAAGGGGGCTCAAACACAAGAGAGAATCGACAATCAAGCTTTGATTTGATTCCATGATTCAAGTTACAAAATCGACACCCTCTTTGCCGCCAAATCCAATCAAAAGCCCCAAATTCCCAATTTCAGTTACATCAAAATTAGGGTTTTCGATCCAAATCTAACCTAAAAGACACAACAGGCCCGACTTCTTCGCAAATTTGGATCAGTTGCTCTTCACTCGCATCGTAGGGTATGTTCCCAACTGCAAAGAACGAAAAGATAAAATCACCAAAAAGAAATCACAAATTAGCAAAATTGAAAAAAAAATATTGGGGGTGTTCGAGAAACTAACCGAAGACGCAGCGGTGCTGTGAAGCGCGGAGGCGCATGTCAATTAAGCGATGCCGGCGGCGGCGCTGCCGGTCGCGATGAGGTTTACAGCGGCGAGAGCGGTTCATGAAGTTCACTGATTTGGGGGATTAAATAGAGGGGAAGAGAGAGAGAGAGAGTAGAGGCGCTTTTTTATTGAGTAGTGAATTTAGATTGCGTTTTAAAATAGGCGTGAGAATTGGGTAAATTTGCAGAATCCTCAACCCCCCCCCCCCCGGCGCAGGTGATATATTATTAAGTTATATTTCTACTTAGAAAAACATTTATTTATTTGGGGGTTTCCATATTGGTCCCTTACACATAGTGAATTTGATATCAGTCCCTCAAATCTTTATATTTTGATATTACTCCATCAATTACACTTTAGTTGTTGATATTGGTCCTTCTGTTCAGATCGTGGTTAAAAATGATGACATGTGGCTAGGTTAGTGCTAACCCTAGGTTGATATTTACCAAACTAACCCCACTCATTGAATTAGGCTCCACATAACTAGCCCCTCTCTCTGGTCTCTCTCCCTCTCTCTCGTTCTCTCTTCCTCTCTCTCCCCTAATTTCTTCCCCTCCTCCCCCACTAGAGCATATATTTTGCACAAGAAATGAGTAGCTAAAACATACGAGACTAGTAGTCCTGTATGTTTTCTGGGTGAACTAATAGGGGATTAGTTCCCCCAAAATATACTGGACTAGTAGTCCCGTATGTTCTGAGCTGGGCGTTTTTTAAAATCACCTCTTTTTGACCTGTTGTTAAAAAAGATCAATTTTGTTAAATAATTAGCCAAATGGTCGATTTTGCTAAATAATTAGCAAAATCGGTCTTTTTTTTTAATTCCCCACATAACTAGCCCCTCTCTCTGGTCTCTCTCTCTCTTGCTCCCTCTCCCCTAGTTTCCTCCGCCCTCCGCCGCCCCAATCCTCGCCGCCGCTTCCCCCGTTTCCTCCAAAACCAAAATCTCCCCTAAAATTCATAAGCGTTAAGAGGCCTGAATGCTATCTGTGCACCACCTAACGTCCTCCGTCCCCTTTGGCTCCGTCCGCCGCTTTATCCGCCGCGACCAGTTAAATGCCGACGAAATGGTTATTAGGGAGCCGAATATGATCTCGGCTGATGAAAGGGTGAAAATATTGGAGGGCAAGGTTAGGTTTGTGCGTAGAGATTGGGTTTTGAGTTGATAACTGGGAGATGTTTTAGCTACTTTTAGGCTTTGTGTGGTTGTCGTCTTGCTTGAGAGGGATGTGAACATGGGTAACTTGGGTTTGGTTGAGAAGGATGTGATCTTGATGGGGATTCCTTGTTGGGTTTTTTTTTTTTGCAACCCCAGTAAAAGAGAACTTGAGTTTGATGATAGGGTGGCATTAGGGGCACACATCCAACCACAACCTTAACTACATCCCCTCTCTCATTTGCTACAATGCACCGGGCCCCACATAGGATTTTAAAAAATTAAAATCTCATGTGAGGCCCGGTGCACTGTAGCAAATAAGAGAGGGGGTGTAGTTGAGGTTGTGGTTGTGTGCCCCTACCATTTTCCTTGATGATATTTAAAAGGGAATGTGAGCGTCTCCCGAGAGGAGACCATGCCAAGAGGTTGATGGATGGGGAAACGGCTGTCTCCGTTAGAGGAGATGCCATTGATTAGATTGCCAACGTCGGTTTTTATTTTATTTTTCTATTTTTTTATATATATTGCTTGATTGGATAAAGACTAACTTGGCTCTTTGCTAGAGGTTGTGCCGTTGATCGGATATGATGGACTTGGGGTTTTATCTTTTTGTTTGACTAAAATTTGTCTTAATCTGCCTGTAGATTAATTTGGATGTTTTTTCAATCTTTTTCTTCACCAATACTTTACTAATTGAGCAAAATCTCCCCCTCTCCCATAATTGTTTAAATTCAATGAGATGAAAGGAAGAATATAGGGGTATAAATGGGTCGAGTTTGTGATTAACGAGTTTGAGGATTGTAGATGGGTATGAGTTAAATAGATAATGAGTTTGGGTTTATAATCAGAGGGCTATAATGGTCAACCCACTCAAAAACGTTAACGGAATATTCTCCTAAAGTTATAACACCAACTACATGACTAATATCAACACCAATCATTTTAAGGGGCCAATATGACAATATCAAAATATGAAGATGTGATGAACTAAGGGCTGTTTGTTTGCGCAAATAAAGAGAGAAATGGGGGGTTTGAAATCTGATAAGAAGGCCACATAGGATTTTGATTTCAATACATTTCTATTCTCTGCGTTTGGTTCGCTGGGTGATTTAAAAAAATGGATGGGTGAAATGGGTTGCCACATCAGATTTTTAAGAAAACTCATTTCAGACCAAGAGTGACTGAAATGGTTTGGAAATGTCACATCTATGCATATTTAAATATTTAAAGCACTATTGAAACAACGGCTTGAATTAAAGGGGAATATTTAATGTCCTGTCGCTGAATATTTAATTGGAAAACTCATTTGATTTCTTAATTTCTGGATGTTCAAACAAACATAAGAAATGTGAAACAATGTTTTCCAGCCTATGATTTCAATGTGAAACAAACAAACAAAAATGGGGGAAACCCTCTGAAATGTCCAGAAATATTTCACAGCCTAGCTTTCTGTTTTTTTTTTTTTTTTTGGGAAATGTACCAAACAGCCCCTATTTTTTTTTTTTTTTTTTTTTTGGGAAATGTACCAAACAGCCTCTAATATCAAAATGCTAATTATTTAAGGGACTAATATCAAAAAACCCCTTATTTATTTTAATCTGATTGATAGTTAAGGCATAAAATTAGAGTGTGAAAACAGAGAAGTTAAAACTTTATATATTTATTTTATTTTAATTGAGATTTAAGGCATAAAAGTAAAGTTTGAAAACAGAGAAGTTGACTGAGGCAAAGGGTTGTTTGGTATACTGGAATTGGAAAATCCAATATATTACATGCAGAAACTGCTACATGAATAAAGTATTTGATGTAAGAAAGTAACATCAAGTTGTTTGAACGTCTTTATTTTAATCAAAGAGAATGCATTTCTAAATCTAAAATTGAAGTTTGATTGGTTACAAGAACTTGTTGAGTTTGCATTTTCTTGCATGAAATGAAATACACGGACATTGCAAATCAAGTGTTTATTTATCTGCAATTACAAATTTGATGGGTGAAATATCGTTCATCAGAAGAAGAATTAACAATCCTCGATCGTCTATATTTTATTTGCTTCAACTAATTTTTCTCAAGTTGTTTAATTAATAAAACGATTTTGCAGCGCGGGTTGTGTAGTCAGCAATCGTTCCAGCTTGTTTACCAAAGAAGCACGGAAAAGCGAAATCTGGCTGCAGCATTTGGCGCAAGAGCTATATTTCCTGTCACCAGTAATTTATATTTTCCGATTTGACATCTAATATGATGACTCAACCATGTTTTTTAAAGGGGGCTGTTTGGTTGGTTTCCTAAAAATCAAGAAAAGAAAAAAGGTACATGAAAATCAATAAAATATTATTTTCATCCCTAAAACTCACCACAACATCCAATAAAAATATTATTTTCATCCCACAACTCATCTCATATCATCTCCTAAAAATAAACCAAACACAAAAATGGGTCACATCATCCAACTCATCTCATCTCCATCTCATATCATCTTTAAAAATCATCTACATCATCCAATAATATGGTGACAACTCATCTCATCTCATTAACATTTCATTTCCACCCATTTCCTTAAAAAAACCAAGAAATTTGATTTTCTTAAGTGTGGGTCACATCATCCAATAATATAATGACAACTCGTTTCATATCATCTATTTTTTTTTATTTTTAAGAATGAACCAAACACAAGAAAAAAACCTATTACAGGAAATAAGTTTCTTATAATTCATTTTCTTATTTTTTTTAGGCAACCAAACAACCTCAAAACAAGTTTTCTTAAAAAATCACTCACATCATCCAATAATAATGTGACAACTCATCTCATCTCATCTCTCATTCTTTGATTTCCTCTTTTTTTTAGCCAACCAAACAATCTTAAAATAATTTTTCTTAAAAATAGGTTTCCTATTCTTTGAATTCCTTTTTTTTTTAAGGGGCTGTTTGTTTTACTAAAAAAAGAGGGAAATCAAAGAAATGGAAAACTATTAAAATGAAGAATTGGTTTGGGAGTGTTTGGTTGGCTAAAAAAAGAAGGAAATCAAAAAAATGGAGATGAAATAATGTTAGTTGTCAAATTATTATTGGATGATGTGAGTGATTTTTTAAGAAAACTAGTTTTGATGTTGTTTGGTTGGCGAAAAAAATAAGGAAATAAATTATAAGAAACTTATTTCCTGTAGTTTTGTTGTTTTTCTTTTGTTTGGTTCATTCTTAAAAATAAGAAATGAAATGAGATGATGTGAGTTGTCATTGTATTATTGGGTGATGTGAAGAAAGATTAAGAAAAGTGTTTTCATAACTTTTTGGGATGAAAATAGAGAAATGAAATGTTAATGAGATGAGGTGAATTGTTATAATATTTTATTGGATGATGTGAGTGATTTGAAATGATGAAAAGAGATGAGTTGAGTGATGTTTGGATGAAAATAATATTTTATTAGATGTGGTGGATGAGTTGTTAGATGAAAATAATATTTTATTAGATGTGGTGGATGAGTGGTTAGATGAAAATAATATTTTATTAGATGATGTGGATGAGTTGTTGGATGAAAATAATATTTTATTGGATGTTGTGGGTGAGTTTTAGGGATGGAAATGGAGGAAATAGTATTTTTTGAGATTTTCATGTTTTCCATTTCCATTTCTTGGTTTTCTTGGTTTTTAGGAAACCAAACAAACAGCCCCTAAGTGAACAAACAGCCCTAATACTACGAGTTCCTGCAGCGTTTATCACAACAAAAGAGATTGGGCCGGGCTATGACGAGCCCGACCAACCTATCGCCTATCGTGAAACCCGCGCTTTCATCAGGATCCGATAAGCAATAAGACATCCAATAATACCGTTGTTAGTAATTTTCCAATGGCTATTTTAATTCCTCCTCAACCCCTCAGCGTACCCATTCCCCTTTCTCCTAAAAATAGAAAATTGCCACAAAATTCAAGAAAAGAAATCCCAATTCAGCTAATTCCTAAGGATCCTTGAAATCGAGAGGATTCAATGGAGAGAGAATTCGAGGCGAAGGTGAGGTTGATGCAGAGACAACGGAGCTCGGCTTCAGG